GCCTCAGCAGCTGTGTTATAAACCAGGCCGCCCGGGTCACCTTGTTTGACCGGCCAGCCCAGCTGGGCAAGGAACAGAGAAGATCCCTGTAAAAAAAATACAAAATAAAAAAATCTGACCCTAAACTAAAGTTGTTCATGCGGGTCGGATCGAAATTCATTGCAAAATACAACCCGCCTGTTAGGGTTTAAACAGGCGGGTCGGATCGAAATTCATTGCAAAATACAAAAAAAAAACAAAGTTAAAAAACATATTTTATTTTTAAAATTTCATTCTTTTTTTTTGTCCTGCCGGGCAAGTGGTCCCGGGCCACTCTGGCAACATAGCTCAGCAGTGTATAACTGTTAGGGCCAGATCCCACCGGCAAAGAGGATTGGAATAAATGTCTGAATCTGGACGTGTTTGTGGAGAGGTGCAAGAAACCGTAATTGATCTGCTTTTCTGCATCTCTGCGTCGAACATGTCCTGATTCAGACACTTATTCCAACCCTCTTTGCCAGTGGGATCTGCCCCTTTTTTTTTTTTTTTTTTTCCGGCCCTTAGTAAACTCTGTAACGTCTGTAAAAACATAACTTTGGCTCCATGACGAACATGCGAAAGGACGCTGGACCCGGCTGCCAGCAGATGCAGCCACCCACCAATGGAACGGAGTCGTTCAAAAGCGGGATTGGTAGAGGGGGTTGTCGTCTCTTATCAGCACCTACCCCCACACCCATTGTCTGTGTGTCTCTTAAAAAAAAAAAAAAAAAAAAAAAAAAAGAGGGGAGAGAGATGGCATTGCTAGGCCATCAACCACTTAACCAAAGAAAAACAAAACGTAATGTTGAAGCCTTGATGCAGATGGAGTTGCACCTTTCTTTTTTTTCTTTTTTATTTTATTTTTTTTTATAAACAAAGGACCCAGTGCCCAAGGGTGATATTCCAAAAGAAAATATTGAGGCCGGGGTCGTCACAGTCTGCCCGGAGAGACCGAACAAAACTTACTGAGAACCGGGCTCAGCGTCCCTCCTATAATGATGATAATGATCCTGATGATGAAAATAATGATGCTRACTCTACTGATGATGATGATTACGACTATGCTATATCACCTATTCTGGCCTCCTCAACCTAGAGTAACACCTGGCCTTCCCTATACCAGAACAAAGTTACTCAGAAACAATACCATCCTAACCAACGTCACCCATTGCTGATCTCTTCTCGCCACCTAGCAGCCCCCCCCGATTCGCCACTGAATTGCCTTCCTCCCTCGGCAACACCCAGATTTGCAAGTTACAGGGCAACACCCCAGCTCCGGCCAGCGTCGTTCTGGCATCGGCGCACCAGGGGCACAGAACAGAGGAACTCTGTTGACATCAGTCCCGGTTCTACCATCTCTGGGCGCCTATACCTCAGATAAGGACGAAGGCTAGATGCTGCCAGAATCCAGAAAACCAGAAAAAAGACGATACTAATGATGATGATGATGATGATGATGATGATGATTAATCTGATGATGATTATGATGATTAGTATTATTAATTTATTACTCCTAAGAATGGTCTCCCCCTCCCCCTCTTTTCCACCCTGTCCCAACACTGCCTCCGCTGAAACGGATTACCAAGAATGAAAGGAACCCATCACAGCCCCAACACAGGACAGTCCCACCTCCCCACCCTTAACCCACAAAGGCATACAGTTCCCTCCCAAAGTATACCTCTGTCCTCCCTTTACTCTATACTGCCTCCGCTGGTGTGAGTATCCCCCCAACCCCAGAATAAGGTAACCCACAAGCTCTGCTCGCACCCCCTCCAGGGCTACACCTCCCTCCTTGTGTCACCCCTGTAGAGTGAAGCTCTCCCCTGATCCCCCTTTTCCAACCATCAGAAATGAAAGAGTATACTCTAGGAGGAGCCTACTGAAAACAGGAGTCCAGCTGTCATTATGATATCAGGAACCAAACTTGCATTACGAACCATAAGAAATTACGCAGAAAAAAGTCAAGAAATTTTTTAAAGGAAAAGTTCTGAGTGAAGACTGATTGGAGAAACAGAGAGAAATCAATTAGAAATTTAGGTAATTAAAGAAATACCTTTCTGGTTCGTTTTAGAGGAAAAAGAAACCAGGATTTAAAGGTAATGAAGATGGATAGCGATTGAAAATATTTAGGAAATTAGTTACGGATATTATTAAAATTGATTAATTAAAATAGTGATTGGGTTGATGATAATTAGTTGATTGGATAATGAATAATTAATAAAATGATAAGTTGGGAATATAAAACTGATTGTAGAAAAAGAAGGAAAGCGAAGAACAAAATTAGTAAGTATTAATGAATCTACCTTCAATGATGAAAGTGATTATGACGCGACGCGAAGTAAATCTTTCTCCCCCATCCCTTTTCCTCTTGAAATCCCAATCCCCCAACCCCCTCGCCTACTACCTCTCTCCTTTTCCCCCTTCTCTCCCTCCTTTATCTCCTCCTTATTCCTACCCCACCCCCTCCCACCCCCTTCCCTCCTCCGCTTCCACCTATTGTCACCCCACTGCCCTCCTCTTCCTTCCTGGACGAGGCGGCGGGCCAAAGCCAAAGCAGAGCAGAGACAGAAAAGGAGAAAGAAGAGGAGAGAACGAATAAAGAATAAGAAGAATAAAAAGGAGGGCAAGAGGAGATTAAAGGGAAGAGGCAGGAGGGGAAGAAAGAGGAAGGGAGATCACATAAAGAAAATAGAGTGAAGAAAAAGAAGCCGAAACCTTACCCACACCCGTCAGGAAACTGGTGCTAATAATGCTGATGATGATAAAGATGATGATGACGATGCTATTACCAAAAATCAACCCTGATGAAGACACGAATGAAAAAAAGACCATCAGACGGTCCGAAGGAGAACATCCCCGAGTCGAAGCAACTTCCTCGTGATTAGATCATTTCGACGCTCGAAGAGTCCGCGCACTCAATGTATCCGGTCGATCCTCCTTCCCCTCCTCGTGACAACATTATTCTCTTCTCCCCTCGCAGCTAGCCGACCTTCCTCCACCAAAAACCGCGAATGAAGAGCCAAAATGATACCTCAAAAAGTTTGGCTTCCAGCCGGAAGTAAGTTCCTCTCCATACGGAATGCTAGCCTGCAGCATTTCCAAAATGGAGCGCGAAGCAGAAGATGGCACAAACGTGCTTTCAAACGACCGAAGACACCAAGTGACGTCGTTATTGCCTCGCTCCCGCCCTATACTCCTACGATGATGATTACGAAGATAACGCATCGAACAGCCCGCCCACCCTTCCCGCCATTACCAACCGTGAGCAGCCTTGCAAGCCAGCCATTGCCAACAATGAACCGTAGCGCAAGCCAGATCTCAAGCGGCATCGCAGCCAGCCTTCCCCAGCAGCGCGCAGCATCACCAGCAGCCAGCGCCGGCGGCAAGTAGCAGCGCGCGAGCAACAAGCGACCGAACGCGAACGCACACACCACCCACCGTCGCGCCAGCAGCAAGCAGCAGTGCGCGAACGCACGCGCCAGCAACCAGCGCCAGCAGCAATTGGCAGGGTGCAAGCAGCACGCAGCCGAACACGAGCGCATGCGCAACGTGGCATTTCGACATAAAAGATCGGTTCGTCAACGACCCTGAATATGTGTGTGTTTGCACCTGTCTCTTTGCAAAGGAAAAGACTTTGAAAAAGAGACAGGTGCATAAACCGCCCATGGCTGTCGCTCCACCACCTGACACTCTACTACACGCATTTGGGAGCTTTTCACAACCAGGTGCATCCGGACGAGTCTAGAATTTTGAAAACCAGATTGACCCCTGTCCACCGGGGTATAATCGGCGTGGCACGGGTGGTTCGCCCACAAGGGAAGGAGTGCAACCACGTGCAGCTGTGGATGAACCTGTGCCCGCCAACCGATTTGATGAGTTGGGAAGAATCCGCGTGTGTACGACCTGAGTGGTGTGATGACTCAAGTGTTGTGTTATCGGCTATGGTGAATGATATTTCGCACATACCCTGTCAAATTTGTTTTTTTTTTTCTCAATTTCTGAGGGATTCTTTAAAGCCCAACCAATTTAATTACTGGTCGAATCTGGACTGGACAGCCTTTCCGACCTTTTTTTATTGTCATTATAGTACTATTATGGGAACCCCGTAACAGCCACATCCGTGCTCAAGCCTCCAACGAGGTAACATGTGGGAGCTGCACCTACCAGCAGGTGGGCGATAACAGCCAAAGGTCAGCCAGTAGCAGCAGGACAGAGCTTCATCCGAGTGGGCAGTCGCGGTGCCTCCCCTCCGGTCCCCTCCCCCAATGAACCTTAGCAGTACCTGCTGAATGCAGGTCAGGGGGGGGGGGGACCGTCTATCTCTAGATGGCGGGCACCAAGTATGCCCCTTAGCAGTACCTGCTGAATGCAGGTTGGGGGGGGGGCAACCGTCTGTCTCTAGATGGCAGGCACCAAGTATGCCCAGGTAGGCACATGAGGCCAATGGGAATTGAACCCAAGACCTCCTGAATGCCACATGTGCGCCTTCCCAACTGAGCTAGGCCGCTGACTCCCCCTGTCATACTTGCCACATCCCCCTGGACCATTGCAATTGCACTTTGGAAAAGGTAAAAAGAAAAAAGGGTGACTGCCTTGAGATATCTTTTTGTGAAACTGACCGGCCACCATACCCTCCATGATTGAGGTGTGGCCGACCCTTGGTTGTCGTCCTTCCGTCGACAATCGTCGGCCATAGTGGTGGGTCTGACAGCAGTCGACGCTGCAAACTTGGCGTGTGTCGTCTGCCCGACGTCGATAGGGAGTTTTTCAAGGAGCTCGCTCTGCGGGGGAGCCAACATCGCATGGCCTCCAGCGCATGTTGATGCAAGGTTGAGGGCCTCTTGGGAGGTCGTCGATCGGTCCGCTGAGGTACTTGTTGGGGCAGAACGTGAGGGGGTGTCTGTGAAGCATGTCCACCTGCCATCTCCAGTGCTATTGCGTGTGGCCAAAGACTGCAGCTCCTGTCACGGCGGACGGCGAGTCTAGTTGTCACCACCAACCCCAACATTGTGTTGTCGTCATTATCTGCTTCACCGCCGTTCTGATCGCTGTCCTCCTCGCACATCGGTAGGTCGATGGAGGGACGAAGTTTCACATCCGAACTATACGGCGATCTGGGTGCATCAATGTACGTGGCCGGGGCTGGAGATGTTCCGCGGCATGATCACACGTGCGGGGCAGGACATTCGCCGATGACGTGGCCTGTCATGGCAGCCCATGGTTTCGTGAGTCACCATTCCGAGCAGGCGGATAGAGACAGAGTGCATATCATGACTTTCGCGGACATGGGCATACAGGCTTCGTCATGCGCTGGGCGAGGAGGTTTCATGCGTCGAGAAAGGTACATGCAGGCTACACCGGGGACAACAAGCAACAACGAAAGGCCGATCCAATCCTACCAGTGGTGGGGAGGCACATCAGTGGACAATGTTGATGTTTGGGGTGGTGCCGCAGAGTACGAACACGTAGCACCCGCGCAGCGAATGAGTGTCATACCTCCGGTGCACCCAACACCTGCTCATCGGGCAATCGCAAGGGGGCAGACAGCCGTGTCTGATCATGCTGTGTGGCCGCAACATGTAGCAGTGGGGGTGTCTGGGGGCGTACGACACTTTGCGGTTCCAGTTGTCGCATGTCTGACTGTGATTGCTGCCCGACAATCGCCGACACGTCAGCAAGGACCCCAAAGGTCAATGGTGGGTGACAAGCAAGGGATAGGAGTGGCTTTTGTGATACGGGAATTCGGGCCTTCGACGGGGATGAGGGAAGGTAGACCGGTGGGAAGTGGCAATGGCATGAGGGACATGGCCAGTGAGTGTTCATCGGGCATGGCGGGTGAAAGTTTGGATGGTGTGGGTGGAGGGCTGGCGGTAGGAGTGGAGGGGGAGAAGTCCGGACCGACCGCTGATTCGTCGACGAACCCGGGTGGAGGTCGACATGGTAGGAACACCACAAGCTCTGCATGTGGAAGCCGAAAGAAACGGAGAAAGTCTTCAACCCAGGCGAAGAAGAACAATCTGTGGACTTTGGACGAGCGAATAGCCCCTGTGAAGATCAGCGTCGAGGATGACGCCCTCATGGCTGATGCGAAGCGAAGCTCAACAACACATGACAAGGACAAGGAGGTATGAGTGGATAGCGGCGCGCCTTGCGGACAAGGGGTATTAGACGACAGGGGAGGATTGTCAGAAGAAGTGGGAAGAGTTTCAGAAGAAGGTTAGGGAGATTCGTGATGCCTGCAGCGGCTCCGACAAACAGGGGTACTACGACATCACCACGGAGGAAACGAAGGCGTTGTGGATACCCCTGACGTCTGAGAAGCCGCTGTGGGATGCCATGGAGTGGTACTGAAAGAACGCATCCTTCAATTGCGACAACACAATGGCATCAGAGGAATTGAGGGGGACGGGATCGAGAGGATCAGTGAGTGACGCAGGTTCTGAAGGGGGGGGGGCAGAACCCACCGATAGTCCAGCAAAGACAAGGCAGACTACAACAGGAAAAGGTCAGGGAGGGGAGTTGTCGTCGTCCATGTTCGACATGGCTACGATGATGGACTACAATCCCCCCCGGGGGCGGCCATGCGCGGCCAAGGCCGGGGCCCCAACCCCACGGCCAGGGCCGTGCGGCCTCGCAACTTTGTGGCTGCGTGGCGGCCAGTGGGGGAGGGGGGCGGGGGGTTTGGAGGCTGATT